AACCTGACTGTGGGAGAAGAGGAAGAGGTTAGTATGTACATCCCGCAGGATCAGCAAGAAGCCGCCATGAAGGCTTGGGAGGCAGAGAAAGACCCTCTGAAACGTCAAGCGTTGGAAGACGAGAAGAAGATGGAATGGAAATTAGCGGTGATGAGGGAGAAGAAGAGGAGAATTGACAAGGCAGCGGAGGCGGCAGAGGCCTTGGGAGAGGTGAAGAACATAGAAACGCAAATAGCCGCCCAGCCCGATCTCCCGAATCAGATGCGAGTCATAGCGCGGAGCGTCGCATGCCTGGCACGGGTTCAGGCAGACCAATATGACTTTAGCAGAAGTCAGGACATAGCTGTGCGCTCGATACGATTGGGCTTTCGAGACTTTGCTCGTGAGTTGGTAGGCGCCGTTGGAGTCGAGGTGGGTCACCGCCTCGACAAGACTGAGCGGTTCTGCGCCGGCGCCATTGAAGGCGTCAAGGCGGCAGCTCCCAAGAAGGAGGAAGCACGTCCTCCTCGCCGGGAGCCTGTCAAAGTCAAGTTCCCCGATTCCTACAGCGGGAGGAGGGAAGAAAACTTTGATAATTGGGAGGCCAACGTTAAGACCTATATGCACTTGCAACATGTCTCCACAGCAAGTCTTAATTGCTATCCACGCACTGAGAGATGAGGCCGCCAGTTTTGCAAGGTACCTAATTCGCGCTGCCAACTGTAGTGATGATCCCGTTGCGTACTCCTCATTTACGTCCCTCACCGAATTTCTGAAGTTGCTACGCGAGCGATTTGCTGATATCGCTCGCGGTGTCAAGGCCTCAGACAAGCTCCAAACCATCCATTCTCGTAAATGGAAGAGTGTCAGGGCACTCAAGGGTACAATGGATGAGTTGGTGGCCGTTCCTAACCATGGGGTCACAGAGGGCCAGTTGGTCAACCTCTTTTACCGGGCTATGCCCGAAGCCTTTCGAGGGCAGTTCTTCGCGAAGASCGAAGACCCTGCCACCACTTACGATTCTCGTAGTCGTGAGGTGGTGGCTTTTGAAGCAAAGTCAGTGTCCCTATCTACCTTCTGGCACAAAGACTTGGACAGGGGTAAGCAATGGAAAGGCCGCACTATCTCAGGGCAGGTAAAAACCAAGGATAGCCTTGTCCTGRCCTTAGATGAGGGTAGTGTGGATGAGATTCCCTACGACCAGATTGAGTGGGGATTAGAGGAGGCGGACAGCGGTGTGGGCCAAGGGAGATCTTACGCTGCTGTCGCGGCTGGAGGGAGGCCGCAAGGAGGAAGAGGCCAGGGCCAAGGGGGCCAGACCTCAGGGAGTCGATTTCAGGGCGATCAGGGGGTTGGCGGCAGCGGAGGAAACCGCCAAGCGGGAGGTAGGGGTCAAGGTCCCCCGCAAAACCGTCCTTGGAGGAGGGCTCCCTATAGAATAGGAGGATGGCACCCAGGGCTACCTCAGGGTAGGCCTTGGGAATCTTTGGGTCTGAACCAGGCTTTATGGCAACAACGATTGGACCGGGGCCAGTGCATTTTCTGCGCTGACCGGGGCCAGTGCATTTTCTGCGCTGACCGGGGCCATATCATCAAATATTGTCCTAAGTATAGAGAAACCCAAACGGCTGCCTTGGGCCAAAAGGCAGCCGCCGGTAGGGTTAGCAACTGCCCCTACCATTAGGCCATGTGGGGAACATAGCGCTAGCCGGCAGGAGACTCCCACACCACATGTGCCTATGACAGAGGTTGCAGGCCGGTGCCTAGACAGCTGTCCGGAGACCGCTTGTGTTAGGATCTCTCTGGACACCTCCCTCACAGGCGTGGCCAAAGAGTTGAAAGAGAGGATGCCCGCCTGGGCCAAGATGAAGAAGGAGAATAAAGGGCAGCTTATATTGCTAGATACAGAGATTTTTAGAAGTAGAGTAGGGGCCTAGTAGACTCAGGGGCCACCCGTAGCTATATTAGTAGGAAGGCGCTGCAGAAGTTGAAGCTGGGACTTAAAGTCCAAA